TGGAGATGGGAAGTACAGTGCCTGCACTCTGAAGGAGGGGTGTTAATGTTGCAGTTTAAAAACTGTAGTGTAAAGCACCCTTCTGGCAAGACAGTGATGGAGTGAATGATGGTGAAAGTTTTTCTTTTTCGGGCCACCCTGCCTTGGTGGGAATCGGCCAGTGTGATAAAAATTATATATATATATAATATATTATATATATATATATATATATATATATATATATATATAGTTATAGTAATGATCATAATTTTTAAAGGGATGGACTGGTAAGCTAGGGAAAGGCCTCAGTCAGATGACCAAAAACTCCAACAGCGGGTCATTATCTAAGACCCGCGTCAGGAAACACTTGTCCTGTTTCCTGACAAACCTTGCCGAACCAAAGTCCCAACTACCACAGCTGTCTTGATGAAGTTTAGCCAGTTTTAGTTATATTCCCGGAGATCTAAGTCCTTCAAGACAATGTCTCCCACTTTTTATTTTGATGCGTGTAAAATATAATAAAAATATTAATACATGAATTCAATGGGAAACGCATGTAGACGGCACATGAGCAGCAGCAGCAGCAGCAGCAGCAGCAGCAGTAGCAGTAGCAGCAGCAGCAGCAGCAGCAGCAGCAGCAGTAGCAGTAGCAGCAGCAGCAGCAGCAGCAGCAGCAGCAGCAGCAGCAGTAGCAGCAGCAGCAGCAGCAGCAGCAGCAGCAGCAGCAGTAGCAGCAGCAGCAGCAGCAGCAGCAGCAGCAGCAGCAGTAGCAGCAGCAGCAGCAGCAGCAGCAGCAGCACTACTACTACTACTACTACTACTGAATGACTCATAAGGGTTTGGTTCTTTTACACTACATTTGCCCAGGGTAGGTTCATATATCGTGTTTTTTTTTTTTTTAAACAGTGTGTGTAATCTCGGCTTATAAGGTAGCGATCATCTTGACAAATAAATAATCTAAATTGACTGTTGCTTCAACTCAGTATAAACATGACGAAAATAGTATAGTTAATGTTAAATATTACCAGTGGTTGGACAGGATTTAGTTAAATTATATGACGTTAATTTTAGCAAGGTTAGTGAGGTCGCTAAGTTAGTTTTGGTACAAAATTAGGATCTTCTGTACTTTGTGAAAGTCGTAAAAATATGTCTGTCAGTGAACTGGATAAAATTTTGGAAACTGTCTTGTTTAGTGTCCAGATTGTATGACTGACTCTTATTTCATTACTCTGCATGAAAACTCACCTTGCGTGATGCAGTAACACAGGAAAGCCATCTTGTGTAAACAGTACGGCAGGAAAGCCATCTTGTGTGAAGCAGTACGACAGGAAAGCCATCTTGTGTGAAGCAGTACGACAGGAAAGCCATCTTGTGTGATGCAGTACGACAGGAAAGCCATCTTGTGTGATGCAGTACGACAGGAAAGCCATCTTGTGTGATGCAGTACGACAGGAAAGCCATCTTGTGTGATGCAGTACGACAGGAAAGCCATCTTGTGTGATGCAGTACGACAGGAAAGCCATCTTGTGTGATGCAGTACGACAGGAAAGCCATCTTGTGTGATGCAGTACGACAGGAAAGCCATCTTGTGTGATGCAGTACGACAGGAAAACCATCTTGTGTGAAGCAGTACGACAGGAAAACCATCTTGTGTGATGCAGTACGACAGGAAAACCATCTTGTGTGATGCAGTACGACAGGAAAACCATCTTGTGTGATGCAGTACGACAGGAAAGCCATCTTGTGTGAAGCAGTACGACAGGAAAACCATCTTGTATGATCGGTGTGTTGTGTAAACAGTTCTTTCTTTAATCTTATGAAATGTCATATAGATCAGGGCAGCCACATATGGAGTAATCAGCTTTGATAAAAATAACACAAGATGGACATAGCTGGGCTGTAAACACTGGTGAGCCGGGTTAACCCTGAGGTTACGATAACATTACAACAAACATCGCAAGACATGACCTGTTGAACCTCTGACTCACGCTCAGTATGTCACTATGATCAGTATGTATATATTTTTTTTAACCATGGTCTTAATTAAGGACACACAGAAGTCATGGACACATAAAAACCTACTTTGTGGAGATTTAACCTAACAAGACCCGATAAAATCAATCACTGTGACATATTTTCAACATTTTTCCTACCTCCCTTCCTTCAGGGATGGTGCTTTGATGCTGAAGGGCTCTTGATCCTCAGAACTGGATCTACATTTCCCTTCACTGGATCAAGCCTCATTGCCTCGCATTTCCTAGACGCTCTGTGACCCCTAAGGATTTAGTGTTTCCTCATGATATACAAATGACAATTCTCTTTCAGCCACTTGCATATACAGCAAATTTCACCACGTGACTTGTTTTGGGAAATTCAGGTTCCTACCAGATTGACATTTATAAATGAACATATATAAGCTAATTATTACTTTATACTTTCATTAAATCTTGAAATTAATATTCTTTATTTACTACTACTACTACTACTGGTATTACCACCATTACTACTACTACTGTTTGTACCACTACTACTATTACTACTATGAACAATAAGAAACTATAACAACTGTATTTATAATTAACGTTATAATGAGGGAGCACTAATGCCATTTACTGGTCAGCTTTCTTCCGGAAGTAAGGTAAGTAGACCAAGGTCGAGCACGGACGGAGGGGAGGAGATGGAGAGGGAATTAGGGAAGGAGGGAAGGAGGCTGGGGAGTGGGTGGATTCATTAAAATACCAGAGGTGCATTTCCACACACACACACACACACACACACACACACACACGTACGTTCCAGAGATGGGACACAGCAACAAGGGGTCACAATTGGAAGTTGAAGACTCAGATGAGCCACAGGGATGTTAGGAAGTATTTCTTCAGCCATAGAGTTGTCAGGAAGTGGAATAGTCTGGAAAGTAAGGTAGTGGAGGCAGGATCCATACATAGCTTTAAGAAGAGGTATGATAAATCTCACGGAGCAGGGAGAGAGTGGACCTAGTGGCGACCAGTGAAAAGGCGAGGTCAGGAGCCATGAATCGACCCCTGCAACAACAATTAGGTGAGTACACACACACACACACACACACACACACAGAGTAGTCAGGAAGTGGAATAGCCTAGCAAGTGAGGTAGTGGAGGCAGGAACCATACATTGCTTTAAGATGAAGTATGATAAAGCTCATGGAGCAGGGAGAGAGGACCTAGTAGCACTCAGTGAAGAGGCGGGGCCAGGAGCTGGGTCTCGACCCCTGCAACCACAATTAGGTGAGTACACATATACACAGACCAGCAAAGGCTACAAATGGATGTGAACAGGCCTGGTTTGACAAGTGACTCCCGGAGCTTAAAACCCACCAAGTGGAAAGTTATGAAGCTTTGGTAAGGTCAAAGAAGATCATAAACGGAGTACAGGCTCGGGGGTCAAAGAGGTGAGTATTATACTCAACATATCCCCTGAGTCGCACACTAGCCAAATAACTGCTGCAGCAAATGCGCATCTGGTAAATCTAAGAATAGGGTTTCGACATCTAGGTAAGGAGACATTCACGACACTGTACACTGTGTACATAAAGTCCATATTGGAGTACGTGGCACCAGTATGGAACCCACACCTGGTCAAGCGCATCAAGGAATTGGAGAAAGTGCAGAGGTTTGCAACTAGACTAGTACTGGAGCTAAGAGTATGTCCTATGAGGAGAGGTTAAGGGAACTCATCCTGAAGACAATGGAGGACAGGAGGACTAGGGAAGACATGATAAACTACGTACCAAATACTGAGAAGAATTGCCAAGGTGAACAGGGACAGAATGTTTCAGAGATGGGAAATAGGAACAGGAGGGCACAACTGGAAGATGGAAACTAAGATGAGTCATAGGGATGTTAGGAAGTATTCAGCCTTCGAGCTGTAAGTGGAACAATCTAGAGAGTGTAGAGGTAGAGGGAGAGAGTGGACCTAGTAACGACCAGCGAAGTGGGGTCAGGAGCTGTGAATCAACCCCTGCAACCACAAATAGGTGAGTACACACACACACTCTTACAGAAAAGAGCAAAGATCTTCTGTAATTTAAAATATCAAAAGAGTATTAGGTGTAAAGATGAGTGAAGTTGGTGTGCGAACTCTAACTGCAAGGATTTAACGTCAGCCTGGTGGCAGTGGTGGTAGTCAGCGTCAGCCTGGTGGCAGTGGTGGTAGTCAGCGTCAGCCTGGTGGCAGTGGTGGTAGCTAGCTTCAGCCTGGTGGCAGTGGTGGTAGTCAGCGTCAGCCTGGTGGCAGTGGTGGTAGCCAGCGTCAGCCTGGTGGCAGTGGTGGTAGTCAGCGTAAGCCTGGTGGCAGTGGTGGTAGTCAGCGTAAGCCTGGTGGCAGTGGTGGCAGTCAGCGTCAGCCTGGTGGCAGTGGTGGCAGTCAGCGTCAGACAGGTGGAAGAGTTTGCGTCGATTTACAATTGTGTTAATTGTCCTGAATTCATTTTGGGTGACTAATATTATGTTAAAAAGCATTCGTGCATCTTTCTTTTGCAGTTCACGTCACACTCTGTTATACAAACATTCCACTCCAACACCCAAACAATCCACTTGTACATCGACAATCCACTTACATCCAAACATCCCACTCACACTTCCCAGTCCTACGTCCCACTCACACTTTCCAGTCCTGAATCCCACTCATACTTCCCAGCCCTACATCCCACTCACATTTCCCAGTCCTACATCCCACTCACATTTCCCAGTCCTATATCCCACTCACATTTCCCAGTCCTACGTCCCGCACACACTTCCCAGTCCTACATCCTACTCTAACCTCCCAGTCCTACATCCCACTTACACCAATATATCCCACTACCACAACGGTTATCTGGCTATTGTTCTCTTGATTATCGTCATCACTGCCATATAATGAGCCAAGTGATAACTCCTGTACACAACCCTTATCTTCTTGTATTCCTCCCACTGATAACACAACTTCTGCCTGACCAAGAACAAGCGCACGTAGTAATATACACGAGTGCTCTTTCACTAAAGAAAAACGAAGAAAATACACATCTGAAAGTGGAACAGTTTAGTTACAAAATAATAATTTGCTGTAACGGGCGTAATGAATAAAAGAAATGTATATTATCGAAGAAGAAACTGTACGATAACACTTGCAGATTCGTGCTGCCCGTGTTATCAGCAGCTAACATGAACAGCACTAGACATTGTCAGCCTGACTTAAGCAGCAGCTGACGAAGTTATCCCTCGATAATCTGCCTGCTGACGTCTCTGTGAAGCTAGTTAGCTAGAGAACAAGCCTGTCAATTAGCAAGGTAAGATGTGCCGAGTAGTGAGAGTGAGATAAGTGACTGAGGTAACTTGTTCAGAAATATCACAAGACTCACAGTTCCCCGTCATTAGGATCCATAACGTCGTGTTTCATGGGATTAAAAGTAATTATCTTACATTATTCAGACGATGTAATGCACTTACTGGTTTGCCTTTTCTCCATTTATATAATAATAATAATAATAATAATAATAATAATAATAATAATAATAATAATAAGAGCCTCTTATATTCTTACACTAGCTGCCTATATGATCTCTGAATCCATCTGGAGAAGTGCCTTGACGCTGGTGAAGAGCTCTTGATCCAGGGAACGACACTTATCTTTTGGGTTTGGTGCTCCCTCCTGGATTAAAAATATATATAAATCTCCTACTGATTTACCTCAGTGGGAGAGCATTCGGCTCACACTTGAAAAGGAATCGGGTTCGATTTCCTGGCCTAGATAAGTGGATAAATCTCCTTATACCTACTGTCCTTGTTCAAGTAGTGGTAACTAGGTACTTGGGTGTTGGTAGAGTGTTGTTGATGGCATCCTGGGAAAGGATGGGTAGGAGAATAAGGGAAATAAACCATACTATGTCCCTCCTTTGTGTTGCCATCTTGTCATCACTTAACCATAATGATGCATTTCTGTCTTATACTTCACTGTTGTCCCCATATAACCCTTTAATATATCCGTCCAATATGGTCGACAAGAGTCAGCAGCCGTGAAGTTTCATGCACAATCTTAATAAAACTGCAAATTTGTTTCACAAACAACGCATACGTACTTTGGAAAGGAAACTTCGGCCGACGTTTCGGTCCATCCTGGACAATGACTCAAGACGGTCCGAAACCTCGCCCTAAATGTGGGTTATTTGTGAACTGTTGCAGTCACGGTATTGTGCCTTTCCTTCTTCACATGTGACGATATTTAACCTTGTGTTTACTTACAGGTTGACCGTGGTGATGGCCACAGCCGTACCAGAGAGCCTGGCACCCGCAGGGGATGCACCATTCAGTGGCGGCACCAACCAGGCACCCGCAGCGGAGGCGGCTCTCACCTGCGGTGTGTGTCTTACAGACTTCGACGCGATGTTCCGGCGGCCGTTGCTGCTGCCTCGCTGCGGCCACACCTTCTGCAGACTCTGTATCAAAGACCTGGCCGCCAGGGGCGACATTATCTGTCCTTCCTGTAGGTACGTTCTCTCCCCCCACCATCTAAGAGCTCTGAGCCAGGGAACTGGATTCTCCCTTTGAACTGAATGTGATTGATTCCAATTACCCAGGGTTATACGACACCCACGGGTTTATCGCTTTCTCCTGAGTAAAACAGTGTGTCACCCCGGTTATATTATTACTAAATAATTACAATTAAAATTATAACTAATAATAATTACAACAGCAGCAGCAGCAACATTATTATTATTATTATTATTATTATTATTATTATTAATGCTTACAGAGTTGCACCAAAAGTGGTCTCTTAAGCTGTAATATGTGTGTAGATTTTGTACTAAATAACATTATTAATACATTTTATTGATATCGCTGAGAAAAAGATCTGAGATTAGATTTTTATTCCATGTTACACAGACAGAAATATGAAAACGTGGAACCTGACAGTCTTCCAGTAAACTTTAATATACAGTGCTTGGCTTCCTCCAGCAAGATCCATACTGCCTTGCAGGTAAGCTGCTCCACTCTCTCTCTCTCTCTCTCTCGGGTTAGAAAACCTCTTAAATTAATATCATTAAGTTTGGCCATTATTCTCCGTCGGGAAGTCATGTCTAGAAAGGCCACAGTGATCCAGTGTTTGCAGCTGATAGTCAGAATAATGTATTCTAAATTCGTTATATGAGAGCCATTAAGGCTGCCCCAAATTAAGGATTAAGGTAAACTCTCAGCATATTTATACTGAACAAGAATATATTGCTGGGATAATGGTACTAGGGAGAGTGAACACAGTTTTGCATTACATTATCTTATCTTACCCACAGTATGTGGTCAGGCTTCAAACACCTTTTATTGCATAACTAAAGGAGTGGAACGGACTGCCTGCCCATGTCAAAGCCAGTCCTAGCATGAGCTAGTTTAGGAAGAGAACTAAAAGATACCGATTATTATTATTATTATAATCAAGGGGGAAGCGCTAAACCCGGAGGATTATACAGCGCCTGGGGGGGGGGATGTGGAAGGCATTCAGGCTTAATTCGGGGAACTGGAGCACAGATCCAATTCCCTAAATCAAGAGCCCCTCACCAACATCAAGGAACCTTCCTTGAGGGGTAAAAGATACCGAATGAATGAAGCTACAGAAATGGAGGAGAATAATTTCTTGTTTAGCTAATATTCATGTACCTATTATTGTAAGCTGATCCTCTCTTTAATGTTAATATAAATAAATCAGTTTACCTTATTCCTTGTATATCTCCCTTAGTAACTGATTTTCACGCAGTTGAGTTTAATAGTAAGATTTAACAAGGGCCCCAATGGAAACAAGCCACTTTTTTTTTTTTCGCCGGTATTCTCCCGGCCACTTTGTCTGACCTTTTATAGCGTGATACCCTAGGAAATTTACACATTTGTTACTATGTATGATAATTTGTGTAACTGTATCGGTTTGTTGGTTTGGTAAGGTTTGTCTGGAAACAGGACAAGAAAATTAATTGTATTTATGTATACCTGTATCTAAATAAACTTAATGGTGTACATAGATTACTTGAAGGGATTGAAGTAAACTCTCAGCATATATACATTGAGAGAAATACTCATAAGTTTATTTTTGTCTACCTTCTATAATTAGACTCTTGCTCCTAGAAGTGTATAAAAGAAAACGATATTAGGCTCTGGTTGTGAAGGATTAACTTTGTTAAAGCTCCTACTGCTCTCACTTCTGCTAGTCTTCCATAGTTTGGAAATGATTTGTCACTTGTGTTCATTACTGAAGGACTTCAATTTACTCGGCTTTGGTAGTTCATGAAATTTCTTGATCAATACTTACTTTACGTCCCAATGTTTTCTATTATGTAAATTATACAATTATTATTATTATTATAATTGGGAAACCCTAAACCCGTAGGATTATACAGCGCCTGTGGGGGGGGGGATGGAAGGCATTCAGGCTTAATTCAGGGAATTGGAGCACAGATCCAATTCCCTAGATCAAGACCCCTCACCAGCGTCAAGGAACCTACCTTGAGGTGTAAATTATGCAATATTAAATTAATTGTGTAATGGAGCTAGTTACATTTTCTAAGTGGAAAAAACTGTTTTAATAAAACCTAATCTGATATAACTAAGCCAAACCTAATATAGAATTCAACTCTTGATCTTAGATAGGTTGAGATAATATAAGATTTTGTTCGGTTTATTATAAGTGGCTATCTGGCATAACTTATCTTGCCGTAACAATGAACTATGGTGTGGGAATTTGTGAGATGCCCACTTTGTTGACACAGATAACACAAGATTCCTATGTCCTGTTCTCACAAGCACTCCTATGGGTACACTTCTTTAGATAGTTAACTAGCTAACAGGAAAGTCTTGCCTTTTTCCATGCACAACTAGAGCAGACTTACTTGATGTGGAGTGATTCTACCCTAGCAAGAAATTCCCTGATTCAACCAGGTTAAGAACTTCTAATGACCTCTCTCTCTCTTACCAAGATGCCACGTGCACAAATGGAATGGGTCCTGTAAGCAGTTAATAAAAAATTAGTAATCCTAGCATACACTCTAGCGGTCACTGTGTTCATTGGGGTTCCCTAACTAATATTTATGTACACAGATTACCAGCTTCTGGATTAATATTCATTATATTATTATAAGTTAACTCGCGTATCTATGGGTGCTAATGGACTCTAAGGGAGAGATCCGACTCTCGCCATCCCTGTGACCACGACCCTAAAACATTTACATTCGAACTGGGCAGTGGGAATTTTTAGTATTTATAAATTTCCACATATGGTCTCATTGACCATATTGGTTATAGATGCAGATACTGGTTCTCTTCAAAAGAAGCACTGGTGTGACAGATTCATTGTATACCACACTTGTGTGCAGCACACTTAAAAACTAGACGATGTTTCGATTTGTCTTTGACTTTTACCAAGTCGCCAGTAATACCTTGACGTCTGGACGGACCGATTAATAATTATTATTATTATTATTATTATTATTATTATTTTATATTGCCTAGTGAGCACAAAACCCTTATGGATCATACAGCGCCTTGGATTGAGATTTAATCAGATTTGTTCCATATAGATATATTTTGTCCAGTGATAGATAATACATACAATGTGAGAAGCTCTCAGCAATTTTATATGACTGATTATATTATCTACGGCCATCCAAAATACCCAGAACTCCCCTCGAGGAGTTGGCTACTGCACGCGTTCCAGAGTTCATCTAGGTTCAACTTCCAATTTGTGAGCTCATTGTGAGGTGAATATAGGAGATGGTTTGTGTTGCAGGCAGAGGACTCGGGCAGCTTGTGTCCTGAACATCGAGTTCGACTGTCGTTCTGGTGCAGCAGCTGCGATGCGGCAGCCTGCGGAGAGTGCCTCTTCGACCACCACCCCAGGAACAGTCATTCCGTTTGTCGCATCCAGGAGGTGGTCACACAGGTCAGTGCAGGGGATGTAGGTGTAAGTGTTAGTGTATATGTGTATGTTGGCGTACATATGTGTGTGGCTGTGTTGCTGGGTATGTTTATTGCACAGGTACGCATACTAGTGGTGTGAGTGTTAGTGTAAGTGAGTGGAAGGATAATGAGTTAATATTGTAAGCATCGTCCGGAGGAGCAAGAAACTTATACGAATGCTGGGCTGAAATGATAAGCAAAACTCTGCAGAAATCATGTGCTGTTTCTATGAATGAGTGGGACAACGTGGGAGGTGAGGGAATGCTAGATCATAAAAACATTTGATTTTTCTAAATAAGCTACATAATGTTGTGGGCATTTTGATACACTGATGAGTTATGTTATTATTTTTTAAACAATATTACAATAACAGTACTTAAAGGAGACAGAAAGCCTCGTTTTAATGTTTGTGTGAGAGGTGAAAGATTATAAGCTGAAGGCATGAACTGCAAATAATGGTCGGCAAAAGAACAGCGGACAGTAGTGGAAGGAAGGGTTGGAGGACTCGTGAGGTCCTTGTGACTGATGAGAAGGCAAAGACTGGACTTAACCTTGAATATCCACACACACACACACACACACACACACAATGGTACAAGCGATTTCACGTGCAGACAGTAAACCAGAAGATGGACCTACTAATGTGGCCTTCTTCACTACCTTCTGCTGTATTGTCTCCGTGTGGGTTCGTTGGTGCCAGCATAGAAAATATGCAGCCTCTATCAAAATGGCACTCTCTTACCACAATGATGATTGTTTGTGTGACAGGTGAAGGAACGTGCTGAGCGCCTCTCTATAGCAAGCTGCGAGGAAGTGGTAATTCGTCTAGGGTACTCCGTCACCCGCACACTACGTGACTTGTCAGACATACAGGAGGCAGCTCACCTACTGCAAGAGACAACAAGGATCTATCGCAAGGCTCAGTCAGCCAACACTTTGTCGTCCATCACGTCCGTCTTCGAGTCGGCCAAAACAGTGCGTGATAGGGTGTGGGCTCTACAGGACGGCATTGAGGAGGGCAACTCTGTCAGCATACCTGACCAGGTGATCTTGAGCTCGAGGCCGGCCGTGCTAGCCCTCAGTGAAGGTGGAGGTCTGGCTCAGGTGAAGGTGGAGAAGAAGGGCATCCATGTATACAGCCTCAGGCCTGCCTCCACTGCTTACAGTGTCGCCATCAAGGTGAGGAAAGGCGCCGACGCGCCTTAACTTATACCGTGTATCTCCTCCAGTTTGCTTTTACTCTGTTAACAGCAGGCAGGGGATTTGTTATTTGCTTTTAGTTCCTGTTTGCTAAGCTCAATTTTATTTGTCAATTGAGAAAACATTGATCTAAGAAGCGTTCACCTTTTAGTTCTCTGACCTGCTAGCTGTCATTTCCAGCGGTTGAATAATCAGTGAACTTTTCCCTACTCGGGTAGCTGACGGTGCTGATGTCATGTGTGAAGAAGGAGTCGCCGATGGTGTTTCTGGACATCAAGGCAGGAGAGCGTCGTCTTGGCCGTGTTTACATTACGTTGGTGGGCAAAATGAAGCGCTCACAGCAATTTCAGGCTCTTTGTCTGGGTACCTTGGGACCCTGCTACCGCGGTACTAGGTAACGATTCTTTTTCGTATCTTAGTGCAATGGAACCTTTCTACCGCGGCACTAGGTAACGATTCTTTTATGTATCTAGTACAATGGAACCCCTCTATTACGGCACTAGGTAACTAATCTCTCACTTTGTATCTAATACCCTGCTACTGAAGCTATAGAACATTCATACAGTTTCAGAAGCAATTGGTTGTTCTAGCTACTCTTGCCTTAAAAATCAAGAAGCCACTCGTGGCCAGACATTTTCTTAGTAACCGTCTTTATCAGTATTTACGTCTTTTACCTAAAAGTTGTCGGTATCGCCACACCAGTTACACCTAACCCTTAAGACTTTAATCACAACAGAATCGAGGTTAAATCAACCTTAATTTATCAACATGAGAGAAGCTGTCTTTGATTCTGCGGACTACATTTTCCATCATATAATTACCTAATAAGTGCATGTTAGGGGCTAAAATTAACTGTTTTGCTTTTGCTTAATAAGACAGGATTCAAGAATGTCACTCGTTTGTTATGAATGAATTTTTAAGCGTGTTTCTATGTGATGGATGTCCTGTCGCTAATATAAGAACACATAGATTTGCAATATTGTTCAGTTTTTAAAGAATCCATTTCTTGTTTAACCTTAGCCAAACAGTATCTTAGAATTTGTTTAAAGGAAAATTTAGTTTAAGCTCAACAGTGGCTGCAGGAGGTCAGGTCACTCTAAACCATGAAAAGACTCATCGGATTTATATTTGTATTTTTTATTGTATATATATACATATAGTCAAATACAATTCACTCTTTTCAAATTTGATTTTACTTATTTACAATCTTAGTATATAAAAGTTACTCGGAATTTGAAAAATAAAGCCTGGTCTACTTGTTGATCTTGATCTTGCCCGGTTCATTATATAACAGCTGAAAAGTGGTCCAGCTTTCATTTCATTTTGTTGGTTTCTTGTTAACTATTACTATTTGCTTTCAATTTGTAATTAAAATAATTTCTACGCTCAGTTTTGTGTGTACAAAGTAAAACTATTCCTCAACCTTTTTTGTAACATCTCTTTGTTTGGGCAGAAACATAAGTGGGAGTGGTTGGGTGTGTGACCCACCTAGTATAGCCGAGAGGTATTCTCCAGTACTCTTTTCTCCTTATAATGTTGTACTCAACTCTCTCTCTCTGGCAGGTTCGATGGTATGAGTGAGAAGGGGCAACCAGGGGAGTACTTGAGGGGCGGCGACTACCAGGGTAAAGGAGGCCTCGGTGGTGAAGCTCTTATGGATAATCTCGAGTGGGGCAGAGAGTAAGTGTGTTTGTGAAGAGTCGAGTCACATCTCTTGACCCGGCTTCTTAACTGATATCATTGATTCCTGGCCTCTTGGCCTCTGTCATATCTACTTATGAAATAGTGTATAGTATGCCTTCACCACCTGCTCATCCCACTTTCCTACCACTCTGACTGAGGGATTTCTTCACACGTCTGTGGCTCATTTGCTTCCATTTCTGCTCTCTTGTCTCTAGTCCTCACATTTAAAAAAAACATGTATATATGTCATAATAATGTGTTTATGTCATAATAATGTCTTTATCTAGTCTTCTTACCTCCACGTTTTTTTTAATTCAGTTTCTTTTATCTCTACTCACGGTATGCACTGGTCGCCGTTGTCCAGCTGTGAGAGTAGCGACTCTCATTGCTGAGGTCCAGGTAACAAACCCTGGGCATTAACATACATCTACTCACGGTATACCTCCGCACAGTAGAACTTGTCTTGTGCAAACTTCCAGACTTTTTTAAACCTCTTAATGTATGTAATCAGTTAGGGCTATCATAGACTATGTTAGTGAAGGGCAATTTATTATAGAATTAATCTATGACGTGTATAATATCCTAAAGTTTTTTTGTTAAAGTCCCTGAAATCTATCCAGATATTCTCCAGCTTCGCATATGCTGTCAGAGCTGTGAGGCTGATGTGAACCTCCAATAATATGATCGATGTAATTCTTCATCTTTTTCATATGCTGATATTTGTAAGTTCTGTCTTCTACTGTGGAGGGTTGATCACCAACAGCTTGAGTGGTCATAGACCGGGTCACAACTAGCAGACGGAGGATAGAACCTCTACCACTCCTTGCACTGAGATCCACACATACATGTTTCTAGCTTTATAAATACTATTTGATCCTCTTATACTATACTCCGTTTCTGGTCTTCACTCTCATTTATGTTCTGCATTACCTTGAACTTCTACAGCCATTTATTTGACTAATCTAACAATGTCTCTTAGATTACATTGTATCTCTCCTTTTGTACATTTTCTTATTCTTATCACAAGTTTTACATTATCGGTAAATAGACACACGCATGATGAATTTCTCTGTGGCAGATCATTGACGCGGAGCACAAGTCACTGCTATAAATTGTAAAGAGCATCAGGGCAAGTACTGATCCTTGTGGGAACCCCCTGCTCACATTTTCCCACATAACCTTAACACCTTATGACCTTAACAGCCCATCACTGTTGCAGGTGGAGCCAGCCCAAGACTGCTGGGCAGGTGTGTGGAGTAGGAGGTGAGGAACAACGTAAGTTCGGCTCACTTTTCGCTGTGTGTCTCCGTGACAACCCCGACGACGTCTTCAAATGTCCCTTCGGCAATGTGACGGAGGGGCTGGAGGTGCTGCAGGTCGCCGGCAGACATGAACCTTTCAACGTCGTCCATGTTGGTGACTGTGGCCTTCTCATACCCCTCTCATAAGAAGAACATAAGAACGAAGGAACACTGCAGCAGGCCTACTGGCCCATGCGAGGCAGGTCCAAGTCTCCTACCGGCTTAAGCCAATGCACCCAACCTAGTCAGGTCAGGTCACATTGACTTTAGGGAGGAACACGGCAACCGACCTGGTAGCACAAGCTATCAGGTCCAACTCACACCCACCCACATCCACTCATGTATTTATCCAAATTATTTTTAAAGCTACACAACGTTCTGGCCTCTATAACTGTACTTGGGAGTTTGTTCCACTCATCCACAACTCTATTACCAAACCAGTACTTTCCTATACCCTTCCTGAATCTGAATTTTTCCAACTTAAAACCATTGCTGCGAGTCCTGTCTAGGCTAGATATTTTCAGTACACTATTTACATCCCCTTTATTTATTCCTGTCTTCCATTTATACACCTCAATCATATCCCCCCTAATTCTACGTCTTTCTAGAGAGTGCAGATTCAGGGCCCTTAGTCTGTCCTCATAGGGAAGGTTTCTGACACATGGGATCAACTTTGTCATCCTCCTTCGTACATTTTCCAGAGCATTTATATCCATTCTGTAATACGGTGACCAAAACTGTGCAGCATAATCTAAATGAGGCCTAACCAAGGATGTATAGAGTTGAAGAACAACCTGAGGACTCCTATTATTTATGCTTCTTGATATGAAGCCAAGGATTCTATTAGCTTTATTGCGAACACTTATGCACTGTTGTCTTGGTTTCAGATTACTGCTAACCAGAACTCCTAAATCTTTTTCGCAATCCGTAATATTAAGATCTGCATTATTTAGTTTACATGTGGCATGGTTATTGTCCTGTCCAACATTTAGAACTTTGCATTTGTCTATATTAAACTGCATCTGCCATTTCTCCGACCACTGCATCAGTCTATTCAAATCTTCCTGGAGTGCTCTAATGTCCTCGTCAGAATGAATTCGACGGCCTATTTTGGTGTCATCGGCAAACTTGCTGATGTCGCTCTTTATGCCCTCATCTATGTCGTTTATGTAGATTGTGAACAGCAGGGGGCCCAACACTGACCCCTGTGCAACACCGCTCGTGACGCTTCCCCACTCTGATTTCTCCCCATTTATGCAAACTCTCTGCTGCCTATTTGTCAACCATGCCTCTATCCAGGAAAAAAATTCTCCTCCTATTCCATGTGCCTTAATTTTCCTCAATAGTCTCTGATGTGGGACCCTGTCAAAATCCTTACTGAAGTCCATATACACAATATCATATTCATTACCATGATCTACCTCCTCAAATACCTTAGTGAAAAAAGTTAATAAATTCGTAAGGCAGCAACGCCCCTTTGTAAAACCATGCTGAGATTCTTTGATTAATTTATACTTTTCAAGGTGGCTACGAACTGCCTCGGCAATTATTGATTCCATAAATTTTCTCACTATGGAGGTTAGGCTTACTGGTCTATAGTTCGAAGCCAAGGACCTGTCACCTGCTTTGAAAATAGGTATCACATTTGCCATTTTCCACTTATCTGGCACCATGCCAGTTTGTAGTGATATGTTGAAAAGATTAGCCAAAGGTTTGCTAAGCTCCTCTTTACATTCCTTTAGAACCCTTGCATACAGTTCATCAGGGCCTGGGGATTTGCTAGGTTTTAGTTTATCTATTTGCCTAAGGACCATGTCACTTGTGACCCTAATCGTGCACAGTTTATTATCGTCCTGTTCTACATAATTTATCATTTCTGGAATATCGCTGGTATCCTCCTGTGTAAAAACTGAGAGGAAGTATGTGTTAAAAATTCTACACATTTCCTTATCACTGTCAGTGAGCTGACCCGAGGAACTTTTGAGTGGGTCTCTCTTGTCCCTGATCTTACTTCTGTATACCTGAAAGAATCCTTTTGGGTTAGTCTTCGATTCTCTTGCAACTTTAACCTCATAATCTCCTTTTGCTTTTCTAATTCCCTTTTTCATTTTTCTCTTTAACTGAATATATCGATTTCTTAATTGCCCCTCTCCTCTTTTGATTTGCCTATATATGCCTCTCTTTTGACCAATTAGATATTTTAATCTATTGTTCATCCATTTAGGATCATTTTTGTTTGATCTGATTTCCCTATTTGGAACATAATTTGACTGAGCAGCTAGAACTATGCCCTGGAAAGCGTCATATCGGCAACCATCACCACCTACCTGACCCTTAGTCAGGTCATTCCAGTTCAACCCACCTAAGTAATTTTTCAGTCCTATGAAATCAGCCAAGCGGAAGTCAGGGACAGAGACTTGATTGCCATTATTAGGGGAATTCCATGATATATTAAAACTGAGTGATTTGTGATCACTTTCCCCAAGCTCATCATTAACCTCAAGATTATTAATTAGTGTTTCCCTACTGGCAAGAACTAAGTCAAGGAGGTTATTTCCCCTAGTTGGCTCTGTCACAAACTGTTTTAAAAAACAATCCTGGATCATATCAAGGAAGTCACCTGACTCTAAATTTCCTGTCAAATTGCTCCAGTCAATCTGTCTATAGTTGAAATCTCCCATTAGCACAACATTTTCGTATGTAGATGCCTTACGAATTTCGTCCCATAGAAGTTTACTGCACTCCCTATCAAGATTTGGGGCCCTGTAAATCACACCCAAAATTATTTTTTCTCGGCCCTCGAGAAGCTGTAACCAAACAGATTCAGTGGCTGACTCTTCTAATTTTATATCTTGTCTAACACAACAATTTAAATTGTCTCTGACATACATCGCTACTCCACCACCCTTCCTGTTGACCCTGTCAGTGTGGAATAATTTATAGCCTTGTATGTGACATTCAGAGGGCATCTCTCTATCTTTCAGATTGAGCCAGGTCTCTGTTATAGCAATAATATCTATGTTTCCTGCACTTGCAATTAATCTTAGCTCATCTATTTTATTTCTTACACTCCTGCTATTAGTATAGTAAACCTTAAGGGAGCTAGTCCCTTGCTGCCCTCTGCTGTCCCCCTTTGTTTGCTGACCTGATCTATTGTCTTTATTTATAACTTCATGCTGAATGCCTTTTATACATTTACTGTTTCCAACCCTAGTGTTGCAACCTGCTTGTTTCCCACACACACCCATACCTCTATCTTCTATCAGTTTAAAATCATAGGCATTTCACCAATGGCCTTCTCAATTGAGTTTGCAAGTGCTACCACCCCAGCCCCAGAGAGATGTACCCCATCCCTTGCATACATATCATGTTTGCCATAAAAGTTGTTCCAGTTGTCAATGAATGGGATTGCAAGTTCCTTGCAGTATCTAGCCAGCAATTTACACCAGTTGCCCTAGACAACCATTCATTTCCTACTCCCCTTCTAGGCAAGATGCTACATATGATTGGGACCCCACCCTTAGACTTAATGAAATCTATAGCTGACCTGTACTTATCTAGCAGCTCTTCTCTCCTACCCTTCCCAATATCATTTCCACCAGCACTGAGACAGATAATGGGCTTGTTCCCATTACCTGACATAATATTATCCAGCCTGTTAACTATGTCTCCAACACCAGCTCCAGGGAAGCACACTCTATCTCTCATCTTCTTATTCCTATTACAAAAAGCACGGTCAATATATCTTACCTGAGAGTCACCAACCACAAGAATGCGCTTACCTCGGGTTAGCAGGGGCAGTAGTACCCTTACCTTCACTGGCCACTGAAGTACATTCATCCTGAAGAACAGAGAAGCGATTTCCTACCTTCAGATCTTCACTCTTAACTTTCCTTATTCTGATTCTCCTCCCATTACTGGGAACCACTCGCCACTTGTAGCAGGTGCTGGACTGCATCTCACTGCTGGTAGCCGTTGCTACCTCCCCACCTACAGCCTCCTCACAGCAAGAGACAGACTGCACCTCACTGCTAGAAACCTCATTCCCCACAACTCCAGCCACCTCACACTCTCTCCCAGACCCATTGAGGTGGACCTTCAGCCTCCTAATCTCCTCCTGGAGAAGCAAGACCTCCTCCTTCAACTCTCCAACCTCAATTTTTAAAACACTGCAGAAGCAAGCCATGCTTTGTATCCGTCCGCGCTAATCCCCAAAGCAGCTCAGGGTCTGTGACCCCACGTGACGACTGATCACTGACGACTGACCACTGACCACTCATAGAAGAACTGTGTTGACGAGTGTATGGCTGCAGGGGTCGAGCCACAGCTCCTGGCCCCGCCCCTTTGCTGTGTATGGAGGGTAGTGTGTGTGGTGGGGGGGGGAGAGCGAACGTGGAGGTATGGGGTGTGACTCGGAAATGTGTGTAGGAGGATGTAGTGTGCACTTATGCCTCTATTATGCACTTATAATTGTATTGTGGACTAACGTCCACTGACTGTAGCGTCCACTAATGACTGCAACGTCCACCGATGACTGTAGCGTCCACTTATAAATATAATGTGCACAAACTGATGTAGTTGTTGAAACATGACTCCAAGAACATAAAAATGTTGAAAATTATGAGTATAATTTAACAGTGTTGTGGCTGTGAGAATCACTGAAACATCTGGCTTGTGGTGACTATATCACTCTCACTCTCGCTTCTAACAGTGACCACATGTGACAGTCACATAGACCACATGACAGTTACATAGACCAAATGAGAGTTATATAGACCAAATGAGTGGCACATAGACCATACGAGAGTCAGACTAAATAGACCATATAAAGGTCACAGACTACAAAAGAGCCACATAGACCACATGAGTGCTACACTACAATGAGTTGCCAGTCACACTGACCACAGATGCACAGCCTATCCACATAGACCACAACAGTTCCACACAGATCACATGAGTACCACATAGACCACAAAGGCCACATGAATTCCACATAGACCACACGAGTGCCACATAGACCACACAAGTGTCACATAGGCCACACGAGTGCCACATAGACCACACGAGTGCCACACAGACCACACGAGTGCCACATAGACCACACGAGTGCCACATAGACCACACGAGTGCCACATAGACCACACAAGTGTCACATAA